AATTAAACATGTATGTTCACTTTTAGAGCTAGAACATAAATTTCCAACAACCTTCGTCAACTCAGATTTGCTGGAATTCATTTTGGCCCATAATGTATTTACTTTTAATGGGAAAATCTATCAACAAATCACAGGGACGGCTTGGGGACATCCCGTGCACCCTCCTATGCAATCTACATCTGGGATACTGGGAGAAGTGCATAGAGACTGACCCCATACTGAAATCATATATGGATCAGATATACTATTGGAAGAGCTAAATTGATAATATCGTTGTGATTTGGCTGGATAAGTCTGATAAGTTTAATGAGTTTGTAGAACTTCTGAATAATAACCCCTTCAATCTACGCTTTACAAGCGAAATTGGTGGTTCAAAACTATGTTTCCTTGACCTGTCTTTACATATGACAGAAAATGGGAGAATTCAAATGACACTGTACAGGAAGAAAACAGCCTCTAATAATCTATTATTCTGGTCAAGTTACCACCCAATACCACTGAAATCAGGTATCCCCATAGGGAAATTTTTAAGACTACATCGAAATTACTTGACTATTGAGTAATTTAAATGTAAGGCCAATGTTTTGCGCCATTAATTCAGGGAGAAGGGATATCCCAATAGGGTCTTAAAGAAAGCATATTGCAGAGAAATACATACAGAACGAAACCAACTAATCAGCGAGGAGTCCTGAAAAACTGAAGCCAGTCCAATACGGCGCATTGGCACCTTTGATGTAGGCTGGGATATTATGAAACATATCCTCCATAAATTCTGGCCCATACTAACCTCGGACAAACACCTTAAGAATGTACTAACACCCTTTCCGTCCATTACAGCTCGTAGAGGTAGAAACTTGAGAGACCTTTTGGCACCTAGTCACTTCTCTAATGTTTCCCAAGTAGGTTATTTAAAAAATACCTACCAATAGGTACATTCCAATGTGGACACTGCAGCGTGTGTCCCTTTATTAATAGGAAGTCTAAGCTATTTTCTAACAGCGCCAATACGGAAAAATTTAAACCACGCTCTTTTTAGACCTGCAGATCAGCAGGCATAGTTTATCTACTTACCTGCTCCTGTGGACTTAAATATGTGGTAAAGACCTTTCGCCCTTTCAAATTACGGATCCATGAGCATGTCAATTCTGTCAATGAGACATTTAGAGACGCCTGTCTCTAGACATCTTCGAATACATCATGACAACTCATCAGCAGGGATCCGCTTCACGGGCCTTGAGTTTGTACCACAACCACCTCGGAAAGGTGGCTGGGATACCAAATTAAGACAAAGAGGGGCATTTTGGATATATTGCCTTAAGACATTATCCCCAAATAGTCTAAATGAAGGGTTTTTGTATTCTCCATTTATTTGACCAATACCGCAGAAGAATCTTACAGTTAGTATCTATATATAAAGCCTTGTATATATTCTCTTGTAAATACTTATATTCTTTATTATTATTTTCCTTTTACATTTAGTTTCATTATTAGTCTTTAATTATCAGCCTAATGTGGGGAGCACCGCTTTTTACTACCCATTTAGGATTGTCTCGTGTATATCTGGTAATCCATTACTTAGGTATACTATAGCAAATCGTGATAAACTCTTTCTGCTATTATATTTATGGCTGCTGAGTTTGGAACACCTATTATACATGATATGAATAGACCTACAGTATAACTTTTCTAGTATGTCAATGCCTCCTCTATTTATCTCTAATGGATCATGTGATCGGTAAGTGATTAATAGAGTGATTATCAAGTCTTAAGTTTCCTCCCACTGCTCAACTATGCAGCTTGGATGTAGAATCACTTTACTCCTCTATTCCCCATGATAAGGGAATAAAACATGTGGAATTCTTTCTTGACCAAGGAAGCTGCAGGGATGATTCACACACAATTTTTGTTTTACGCCTTCTTAAGTTTATTTTGTCGCACAATTATTTCTTGTTCAATGGTAAAGTGTACCACCAGGTGAGGGGTAACGCTATGGGGACACCTTGTGCCCCCTCATATGCGAACCTTCACCTGGGTTTTTGGGAACATCATATTCGTGCCTCAGATGTTTTGATAGAGTACCTACCAATGATTTTATGGTGGGGTAATTACATTGACGACATTCTAATTGTGTGGCAAGGTACCCCCCAGGAATTTTTTGATTTGGTGACATTACTTAATCAGAATGATGAAAACCTCCGGTTCACATCAGAATTTGGAGGACACTCCATTTACTTCTTAGATGTGACAATTAGCATCAAAGATGATGGCACATTTCAATCTACTTTATTTAGGAAACAGACAGCTACCAACTCCCTTTTGCATTGGAGGAGTCACCATCCACGATCTCTTAAGGAGGGTATTCCGGTGGTCAGTACCTTCACCTTCGGAGGAACTGTAGCGACACCGAAGACTTTAAAATAAAAGCAAAGCAATTGAGGCTACATTTTAAAGAGAAAGGTTATCCGAACCGTTGTCTTAAGAAAGCGTATAAAAGAGCACTTCAAATTGAAAGGGAAGAATTGTTATGTGATCATTAGTGATGTACCGAACGGTTCGCTGGCGAACGGTTCCCGGCGAACGTAGCATGTTCGCGTTCGCCACGGCGGGCGAACATATGCGCGGTTCGACCCGCCCCCTATTAGTCATCATTGAGTAAACTTTGACCCTGTACCTCACAGTCAGCAGACACATTCCAGCCAATTAGCAGCACACCCTTCCTAGCAGACCCTCCCACCTCCTGGAAGGCATCCATTTTAGATTCATTCTCAAGCTGCATGCTTAGTAAGAGGAGGGAAAGTGTAGCTGCTGTTCATAAGATAGGGAAAAGCATAGCTAGGTTAGGGATAAGGGTATGCTTTTTTTGGATTTTTTTTTTCTATGTAATGTAAATGCACTTAGTTGTCTGCCACTGCTGCCAGCTTCTGTGTCAGGCTCACAGTGCCCATTTCCCCAGTCAGTGCCACCAATTACATCTGGTGTCACAATAGCTTGGATTTAAAAACAAAAAACTTTTTTCACTGTTATAGATTGAATAGCAGTCAGTTGTCTGCCACTGCTGCCAGCTTCTGTGTCAGGCTCACAGTGCATACTGTGCCCATTTCCCCAGTCAGTGCCACCACTTACATCTGGTGTCACAATAGCTTGGATTTAAAAACAAAAAACTTTTTTCACTGTTATAGATTGAATAGCAGTCAGTTGTCTGCCACTGCTGCCAGCTTCTGTGTCAGGCTCACAGTGCATACTGTGCCCATTTCCCCAGTCAGTGCCACCAATTACATCTGGTGTCACAATAGCTTGGATTTAAAAACAAAAAACTTTTTTCACTGTTATAGATTGAATAGCAGTCAGTGTCCTTAAAGCGGGTGTGTTACGCTAATAGTGGATACGGTGACCAGTGCCACCACTTAGATCTGGTGACACAAAGCTTGTATTTAAAAACAAAAAACACTTTTTTCACTGTTATAGATTGAATAGCAGTCAGTGTCCTTAAAGCTGGTGTGTTACGCTAACAGTGGATACGGTGACCAGTGCCACCACTTAGATCTGGTCACACAAAGCTTGTATTTAAAAACAAAAAACACTTTTTTCACTGTTATAGATTGAATAGCAGTCAGCGTCCTTAAAGCGGGTGTGTTACGCTAACAGTGGATACGGTGACCAGTGCCACCACTTAGATCTGGTGACACAAAGCTTGGATTTAAAAAAACAAACACTTTTTTCACTGTTATAGATTGAATAGCAGTCAGTGTCCTTAAAGCTGGTGTGTTACGCTAACAGTGGATACGGTGACCAGTGCCACCTCTTAGATCTGGTGACACAAAGCTTGGATTTAAAAACAAAAAACACTTTTTTCACTGTTATAGATTGAATAGCAGTCAGTGTCCTTAAAGCCGGTGTGTTACTCTAACAGTGGATACGCTGACCAGTGCCACCAATTAGATCTGGTGACACAAAGCTTGGATTTAAAAAAACAAAACACTTTTTTCACTGTTATAGATTGAATAGCAGTCAGTGTCCTTAAAGCGGGTGTGTTACGCTAACAGTGGATACGCTGACCAGTGCCACCAATTAGATCTGGTGACACAAAGCTTGGATTTAAAAAAACAAAACAATTTTTCACTGTTATAGATTGAATAGCAGTCAGTGTCCTTAAAGCGGGTGTGTTACGCTAACAGTGGATACGCTGACCAGTGCCACTAATTAGATCTGGTGACACCAAGCTTGGATTTAAAAAAACAAAACACTTTTTTCACCGTTATAGATTGAATAGCAGTCAGTGTCCTTAAAGCGGGTGTGTTACACTAACAGTGGATACGGTGACCAGTGCCACCACTTATATCTGGTGACACAAAGCTTGGATTTAAAAACAAAAAACTTTTTTCACTGTTATAGATTGAATAGCAGTCAGTGTGCTTAAAGCGGGTGTGTTACGCTAACAGTGGATTCGGTGACCAGTGCCACCACTTAGATCTGGTGACACAAAGCTTGTATTTAAAAACAAAAACCACTTTTTTCACTGTTATAGATTGAATAGCAGTCAGTGTCCTTAAAGCTGGTGTGTTACGCTAACAGTGGATACGGTGACCATTGCCACCACTTAGATCTGGTGACACAAAGCTTGTATTTAAAAACAAAAAACACTTTTTCACTGTTATAGATTGAATAGCAGTCAGTGTCCTTAAAGCGGGTGTGTTACGCTAACAGTGGACACGGTGACCAGTGCCACCACTTAGATCTGGTCACACAAAGCTTTGATTTAAAAACAAAAAACACTTTTTTCACTGTTATAGATTGAATAGCAGTCAGTGTCCTTAAAGCGGGTGTGTTACGCTAACAGTGGATACGGTTTGGGGGGCGTGTCCAGCTTCCGGTGTGTGCAGTCGCATGGCTTAGGAGCTCCGCCGTCTACCCGACCTAAAGCAACTCTATACACAGCGCTAATCTACTAAAACACCCGAACCTAAACACTAAACTCGTCCAAGTGGGTGTAGGGTCGCATTATGCCTCCTACTAAACAGTTGAAGCTGTCGGACACAGCTAAGATGAAAAAATCTGAACGTCGCAAAGAAATCCAAGATGGCGATGAGACGCCTAACATATCGGATGGTCAGTCCGACTGTGAGTGGAGCTCTTCCAAGTACCCTGAAGCTCCAGTAACGGAACGCAGCTTACACAGGATGTTACAAGAGCTCAGGGCAACAATTACAGCCGATTTCCACCGAATTAACGGGGATTTAAGGAAAGAAATTTCTAATATTGGAGACAGAACCAGCAACTTGGAGAATAAAACAGATGAACTCTGTGTAGCCCACAATGAGGTAGTGGACAAAATTCAGAAGCTGTCTGAAGAAAACTCTTCACTCAAATCTAAACTTGCCGACATGGAAGACAGATCAAGAAGGCAAAATGTCCGGTTCCGTGGAATTCCGGATGATATATCTCAAGACGCCCTTCCAGCCCATATACTCTCAATCTGTAAGGCCTTAGTCCCGGGCCTACCTGACTCCGCTTGGGCCTACGACCGCATGCACAGGCTACCGAAACCCGCTCGCATATCTGCTGAGGTCCCAAAGGACGTTATTGTACGATTTCACTACTATGCGCATAAAGAATCTTTATTACAGGCAGCAAGAAAAGCACAACCACTTCCAGAACCCCACCAACGGGTTGTATTATTTGCTGACCTATCGGCGGCTACAATGGAGAAACGGAGAGAATTCATCACAGTTACGAAGACTCTTAGAAATAACAACGTAGTCTACAGATGGGGTTACCCCACCAAATTAATTATTTGGCGACAAGGCAGAAACTACACTGCTAAAGATTCGGCGGAAGGAATGAAGCTGATTACAACTTGGGGGCTATGGAACGGCTCACCTACCCATCTTGATACAACCGAACAGGCTTCCCCACGACGACTTCAAGAGGACTGGCAAATGGCGAAATCTCCAGCCAAGATCCCCTGAACTTTCACGTTGTGCATATATATATGAAGATCACGTTGGCATACACTTAAGTATCATAACCATTACTTTGTACGCAACACTGAATGTTTATATTTTTCTAGCTATACGCTGTCTATTAAAATATACTGATACAGGCAGAATATCTGCGCCCAAATGGTACATGCCCATTTCATCTTTCAGTTTCGGGCTGTCTGTTTATCAGGATAGACCTCCACTTAATCACCTAATTATTGTAACGTTCTTATGAGGCAAGTTCCCTTCACTTCTCACGTACCAGGGACATATCTTAAGGTCGAAAATGGTGAAATTGGTGTAAGCAGCGGTCACCATTGTTGGGCGATTGATGTTCTCACAACTTGTTAAGGCTTTAATTTCACCAGTATAACTTGTACCCTATCAACACACACAAAAGGGAACTCCCCTAATCTCGGGTCTTCTCTAAGTGTGATCCATACCTAATGTTTCTATGTTTAATTTTATGTTTTTCTTTCTAACACATATACTTTTGCAATACTGTCTATGTATGTACTTTAATAAGAATCATTGAGGTAATGCGGACACCTAGCAAGTCTCAAGCCTGTCATTGTGCACAGCACGTTACTCCAGATTCAATTTTAGCTCAAAACTTTTACCAACCGCGTGTACAAGCGGCGAATTCCCAACTAAATTTCCTCCATGATTCTCACGCGTGCAAAGAATATGCGGAGACACTATGTTACATCACTATATGCCCAATATGGGGTGACTTACTATTCTAGATTTTTATATGTATGGTATTACTACAGTTAGTACTATGTGTAACGTTGTACAAATCTTTCATAGGTCGGGAGGAGCCTCAAAGTCCCTCCCTGAGTCACTTATGGGCCAAATTTTCTGTGCCTTTAAGTTGACCGAGTTTGATACCCCCAGAAGGGGTTCTGTTTGTATATACTTTAGTTTTTGTTGTATTTTACTTCCTTGCTCTTCCCTTATCCCCCCCCCCCGTTCTACGCCTAGACCTTACCAACCATGTTGCCTCCCAGGTAACCCCATCATCTATGAACGACAAGTTTTTTTGCACCGTTATGGTACATCTAGAGGGGAGCACCGACGATGCACCAGTAGCAGGGACGATTGGCTTTCTGTATAGAGGTACTCACTTACACCTACATGCTCCAGGACACTCATGGCTACTTTACCGCCTCGTCATCGAACAATAGACATGGCCTCCCATACACTAAAAATCCTTTCCATTAATGCCAAAGGCCTTAATAGCCCGTATAAAAGAAAACAATTGCTAAAAGAAATGCACAGGTCTGAGGCAGCTATTGTTTATGTCCAAGAAACCCACTTTGCTAAGAAAAACCCCCCTCAAATCCGCTCTCTAAAGTACCCTGTTGCATACTTCGCTCATTCCCAAACCAAAGCTAGAGGAGTGGCAATCTTCTTTCACGCTGACTGGGTATTTACACTACACAAACAATTCACAGATTTAGAAGGGAGGCTCCTGATACTTGTAGGAGAACTAAATGGCATATTGGTGACTGTGGCCTCCCTATACGCCCCTAACGAAGCGCAATATCCCTTTCTTAACAAAGCAATTAAAAAGATAACCGCCATCAAGAAAGGCCATATAATTATCTGTGGGGACTGTAACTGTACTCTTGATCCCTTGATGGATATCCAACGTACTCAGAATAAAACCCCTAGCAAACTTTCTATTTCCAACAGCAAATTATTTTCTCAACTCATACATGATCATGACTTGTATGACACATGGAGAAATCTTTTTCCAAAGGCACGAGACTACACATATTTTTCACCGGTACACCTTACTTACACGCGCATTGATTTGTGTCTGATTGATAAATCTATACTCTCTCATCTTTTAGACCAATCTATAGGGATCAGAACTTGGTCCGATCATGCCCCAATATTGATTACACTAGAAGTGCCATATCCAACTAAAGGCAGAGGAAAATGGCGCCTTAATGAATCCCTCCTTGATGAACCTACTTATAGACAACAAATTTCGACAACACTTAATACTTACTTTTTAATAAACTCCACGGATGATACCACGATAGAAACCCAATGGCTGGCTCACAAAGCGGTCGTTAAGGGAGAATTTATCAAAATAGGTTCCATAGCCAAAAAACAACTTCTCACCAATGATTACACGCTTAAGCAATCGCTCCGCAACCTAGAAAACTCCAATAAAAAAGCTCCCTCCAAGTTCTTATCCCGACAAATCGCCAAAATACAAGAGGATATCCGAAACCTTCATGCCCAAACTTACACTAAACAAGTACTTAAGACTCAACAAACATATTATACGAAAGGAAATAAGGCAGGCAAATTATTGGCCAATCAACTGAAATCCAGATATTTACAAACGAAAATCCCGTATATATATTCCAAAGATAAAATTAGACTATATAATCCCAATAGTATTGTCGACGAACTTTCCCGTTATTATGAGGACCTTTATAATCTTAACACCAACAACCAAACGCATGTACCAAAGTCAGAGGAAATTCTGCAATATCTCTCCCGAATCACACTCCCACAAACCACATCACTTCAAAACGGACTCCTCATTCACAGAAGAGGAAGTTGCACTAGCCATACGCTCCTTGCCCACACACAAAGCCCCTGGGCCTGATGGGCTTTCAAACTACTACTATATCAAATTGGCACAACATCTAACCCCACACCTCACCAACTTGTTAATTAAAATTAGACTGACAGGCAAATTTCCACAGGAGATGTTGGAAGCTTACATAATCACCTTGCCAAAGCCAAACAAACCTCCAACGCTATGTGGTAACTTAAGGCCAATTTCTTTACTTAATGCCGACGTCAAATTATATGCTAAACTGATTGCTAACAGACTTAAGCCCCTCTTAACCACCCTAGTTTCGGAAGAACAAGCTGGGTTTGTTCCTGGCAAGCAGGTAGGGGACAATACTAGATATTGCATGGACCTGATTGATTGGGCCAACAACCAAAAGCAGAGTGGCGTCGTAATGGCGTTAGACGCGGAGAAGGCTTTTGATCGCCTTAACTGGGAGTACATGGTCGCCACGTTAACAGCCTTTGGTTTCTCCAAAACCTTTATCACCGGTGTTATGGCCCTTTACTCTGCCCCCTCTGCTAAGGTGTTTAATTCTGGCTTCACCTCCAGGAACTTTCAAATTTCAAACGGTACTAGACAAGGGTGCCCCTTGTGACGAGACCAATCTCGCCACATTGCATTGGAGAAGCCTGGTTGCTCGCCTGCTGCCTTTGGACTATGGCCCCCTGTTAAAAGACATCTTTTTTACCTGCAGAAAAGCTTCAGTCGTGCTTTTCTGCCTGGGTTTCAGTAGATTTGTTTGAATGTGTTACACCCCAGATGGGAATCCCATGGAGCCCATTCGTATGAAACTGACTGTAAAGACTTTGGCTCCATGGTGATTAAACTGTATTTGTGTGGTCCGAGCGCCATTCACTTAATAATGTGCGCTCAGACCTGAGCTATCTGGGGATATGTGAAATGTCTGTGTTTTATGTATAAATGTGACTTTATGTATTTTAAAGTGCTTTGTGTCTTTTTGCAACCATGTGCTTAATGGAGTCTTGTGTCTGTCCTGGGAGATAATTGAATTACTTATCTCCAGGATAGAAGACTCTGAAACTGGTTTGGGCCAGAAAGCCATGCTTCATTTAGTCACAAAGGACTTTTTACTAACTTTTGAACCCCTTGTCTGATTTGTGCCATTTTTGAATATGTTGTTCCCCTGAATGGATTGATTGAGAATATGTAATTTTATGTGAATGTGATGTATGGTTTTGGAGTTATGAAAGTTGGGTAGAAAGTATGTTTTAACTGTTTGTATAATTGAGTTTCCTCTCAGGATAAGGGGAGGGAATATGTGGGATGTAACTGTGATATGATTGGTTGTTTTATCCCTCCCTGTGGGTGGTCCTGTATTTGAAACACTGTAATAAAAACCAGGCTGGGTGTGCCAGCACCTCAGACCACTGCTTGACCCTCAACACAGAGCCTTGTCTCGTTCTTGGGGGGATTCACTGTATGCTGTTAGAGACTGATTGCCAGGAGTGTAAGCTGCTTGTCTGCTTTTCCTGTTCGTCTGCTAGCAGCTATTTGGGAGGTTCCAGTTCGGGAGTTGGAGTGCTATTTTGTATCCAGTTTGGGAGTTTGATGTTCTGCAGTAGCTGTGCCTGTATCTCTGGAAAGGGGGCCGATCGCCTAAACGGTTTTTACCCCTTGTGTGCAAAACGGTCCGTTACAATTGGTGGCAAGCGGCGGGATCGTTCCTACAACCAGAAGGACAGCTACAGGAGACACCATTCCGTGGATTTTACAATTTGAGGGCAACGCATGTCTCAGTACAGCGACCCTGACAGCAACAGAATGGAACCAGCAGTGGAGTACAGATACTCTGTACAGGAATTTGACCGTATGATGTGGTTGCGGCTGAACTTCTACGGGCCTAATCCAGCTGAGAAATCCGTGAAGTTCGTGAGGAGTCTAGTATTCAAGACTCTGCTGTACCGGGCAGAGGGTGACGGTCAGCTGCCACGGTGGGTGGACCTCCACCGGCAGCTACAGTTGCGGGACAGAGAGAGCCCAGTCTCCTCTCCCCAGCGGCAGTGTGATATGCCGGGAATTGGGAGCCCAGTCTCCATTCCCCAGCGGCAGTGTGATATGCAGGGAATTGGGAGCCCAGTCTCCATTCCCCAGCGGCAGTGTGATATGCAGGGAATTGGGAGCCCAGTCTCCATTCCCCAGCGGCAGAGTGAATTGCAGGGAATTGGGAGCCCAGTCTCCATTCCCCAGCGGGAGATATTGCAGGGAATTGGGAGCCTGAGCTCCATTCCCCAGCGGCAGGCTGAGTTACAGGGGACAGAGATAGTTGCTCCTGTCCCCCAGCAGCAGAATGAATTGCAGGGAATTGGGAGCCCAGTCTCCATTCCCCAGCGGCAGAGTGTCCTACCGGGAATAGAGAGCCCAGTCTCCTTTCCCCAGCAGCAGGACTCTGTATTGGGAGCAGAGACAGTCGGTCTCCCTCCCCCACAGCTGGAAGTTTGTATGGGAGAGGAGCTTGTTACCCCCTCTCCCCAGCGGCAGCTTAATGTACAAAGGGGAGACAGTAAGCCCCACAACCGTGCAGATGGGACCGTAGTCTCTACACTGCCAGCACAGGGGGTAGGGACGGTCGGTCCTGCCCCCCAGCGACAGGGCTGTTTAGCCAAAGGGGAGACAATCGGTCTCCCCCTCCAGCAGCAGAGATGGGTAACCAAAGGGGAGACGGTCGGTCTCCAGCAGCAGGACTGTGCATCTAAAGGGGAGACAGTCAGTCTCCAGCAGCAGCAGCAGAGCGGTGTATTTAAAGGGGAGACAGTCGGTCTCCCCCTCCAACAACCAGGCTTCCACCAGGCTACCCTCCCAGTAGCGCTGGCAACAGGGCAGAGTGCCGCTGGTCTCTGCCCACGCAGCAACCCACCAAGTCAGCGTACCCGTACCCAGCACAGCCGTGGTGAGGCACCTGGACATGGACAAGCTTCCCCTTTACCCAGGTGTAGTAACCATTTATTGTGGGTGGGCTGTGCTGTTGATTATTTGTTGTGGGTGGGCTGCTGGACTAACAAGGGCACTGACCGGCAGGAGGTCAGATACCCTGTTAGTCTGTTTGGAAAAGGGGAGAGATGTGACGAGACCAATCTCGCCACATTGCATTGGAGAAGCCTGGTTGCTCGCCTGCTGCCTTTGGACTATGGCCCCCTGTTAAAAGACATCTTTTTTACCTGCAGAAAAGCTTCAGTCGTGCTTTTCTGCCTGGGTTTCAGTAGATTTGTTTGAATGTGTTACACCCCAGATAGGAATCCCATGGAGCCCATTCGTATGAAACTGACTGTAAAGACTTTGGCTCCATGGTGATTAAACTGTATTTGTGTGTGGTCCGAGCGCCATTCACTTAATAATGTGCGCTCAGACCTGAGCTATCTGGGGATATGTGAAATGTCTGTGTTTTATGTATAAATGTGACTTTATGTATTTTAAAGTGCTTTGTGTCTTTTTGCAACCATGTGCTTAATGGAGTCTTGTGTCTGTCCTGGGAGATAATTGAATTACTTATCTCCAGGATAGAAGACTCTGAAACTGGTTTGGGCCAGAAAGCCATGCTTCATTTAGTCACAAAGGACTTTTTACTAACTTTGAACCCCTTGTCTGATTTGTGCCATTTTTGAATATGTTGTTCCCCTGAATGGATTGATTGAGAATATGTAATTTTATGTGAATGTGATGTATGGTTTTGGAGTTATGAAAGTTGGGTAGAAAGTATGTTTTAACTGTTTGTATAATTGAGTTTCCTCTCAGGATAAGGGGAGGGAATATGTGGGATGTAACTGTGATATGATTGGTTGTTTTATCCCTCCCTGTGGGTGGTCCTGTATTTGAAACACTGTAATAAAAACCAGGCTGGGTGTGCCAGCACCTCAGACCACTGCTTGACCCTCAACACGGAGCCTTGTCTCGTTCTTGGGGGGGATTCACTGTATGCTGTTAGAGACTGATTGCCAGGAGTGTAAGCTGCTTGGGAGCTTTTCCTGTTCGTCTGCTAGCAGCTATTTGGGAGGTTCCAGTTCGGGAGTTGGAGTGCTATTTTGTATCCAGTTTGGGAGTTTGATGTTCTGCAGTAGCTGTGCCTGTATCTCTGGAAAGGGGGCCGATCGCCTAAACGGTTTTTACCCCTTGTGTGCAAAACGGTCCGTTACACCCCTTGTCACCATTAATCTTTATTTTATGTTTGGAACCGCTGATACAAAACATTAAACTAGATGCAAAACTGCCCGGTCTTTCCACTCCAGCTGGCGAGAAGAAGCTAGCTCTCTATGCCGATGATGTAGTCCTATTTCTCGCTAACCCAACAGAATCTATCCCACATCTCTTACATACTCTAACCACTTATGGTACTGTCTCCTATTATAAAAATAATATTAGTAAAACTCAGATCCTTCCCATACGACTTGATGAAAAGGTAGTGTCAGATCTAAAGAGCACTTATTCCTTTGAATGGAAACATACAGCTATTTCATATTTAGGAATCAAATTAACTAAATCCAAATCACTAGTTATAAAAGAGAATCACATCGCAGTCTTAGCCAAGATTTCCAAACAAATGGACTCTTGGAGCAATTTACACACGTCCTGGTTTGGTAGGATAAACTCTATCAAAATGATGATCTTACCCCACATACTCTATCTATTCAGAACTATACCCATAGCTTTACCAAACTCCCTTCTCAAGAGATTTCAAATGGCTATCAATGCCCATATTTGGAGGAAAAAACCTCCAAGAGTCGCCTTTCGATCTCTCTGGTGACCATTCAAAAGAGGCGGACTTTGTGTCCCGAACATTTTGTATTATTACAGGGCAACATTGCTGGCGCAAGGCCTTGATATTCTAACAGGCAAATCAAATCCCGTTTGGGTCAAACTGGAAACCTCCTGCGGAGGCATGCACTCTATCTCTGATTCCCTGTGGAAACAACCCTCAATTTCTAGCCCCTATACACTCCCAGCTTCACACTTTTTTATAAAATCATGGACCTCATGGAGTACCATATTGTGGTCCAAAGCAGAGGCACTTTATCTAGCACCTATATCAGCCTTATCTAACATATCCCCCAACCTTCAAACGCGTCACTGGTCCAATTTAGGTATAACGCATGTTCATAAACTACTTAATGAAGAAGGCATTCGCTCATTCCCTGATCTACAGAAAGATTATAACTTACCGCCCAAAGATATTTTCCTATACCTACGGTTCAAACATATCCTAATTAAGGAATCAATTAAATTTATTCATCCGCTTTCACTCAGTAGACTGGGATTTAAATGGTACAATGCAAAATTATCCCAATCCTCTTGCAAATCTCTTTCATTGTGTTACTCCGCGCAGGTTGATTTGAATGCATCCACTAAACTGCCCTATATGCTCAAATGGGAGGCAACATTGAGTATAGCTCCTACTTTTCCCGAATGGGAACAAGCCATTACCTACACAAAAAAGTCATCAAACTGTATTATACACTGGGAAGCTTATTTTAAAATGTTGATGAGGTGGTACTTGGTCCCAAGCAGGATTCACAAAATTTATCCGGAATCCTCTTCATTATGTTGGAGATGTCATGCTGATAAAGGATCTATAGAACATATATTTTGGTATTGTTACAAGCTACGAGTATTCTGGCAAGAAATCAAAAATGCAATTTACACATTATGTGATTTTACTATCCCATTGACTCCCGAAAATTACTTACTTCACATCATTCCAAATTTAAGCGATATGCCAGCTAAGGATGCGGTGCTCAATATGCTCCTAGCTGCTAAAATTAGCATAGCAGCACACTGGAAATCCACCGCCTGCCCTACAAAAATGGAAGTCCTCCGTAGAACAAACTCTACATACCAACATGAAAAGGAGTGGGCAAAAAAGGGTGATATGAGTGTATTTCTGGATAGATGGCAAAACTGGGAATCTTTTATGGATAAGACTATTACGACATGCTAGGGTCAGCGCATCTCTGAGCACGCTTTGATTTTCATCACCTCACGTCACACTGTACCATTTTGTGTCATATCGTAGCATATTTATACGTCATCCAGCACAAACACACAAAATTCTTGCATCATAGGCGTCAATTGCCCCCTGTCCCACCCCCCCGCCTTCCCGTTACCCCATTTTCCTGTATGTCTTATTGTATGACATTTTTTTTTGTATACATGATACATTATTGATATTTACTCCAAACCAACTCGTTAATATAACGCAAGTCATATAGTACTGCTCACACTGCCGATGGTCACGAAAGTCGAAATTATATACCATTGTGAAATGTTTATCATTAGAACAATACGTTTCAATGACTTTTAACAATCGTCCGACCTGCTTCAGGCCGCTATGGGCCAGGGCCACAGACTTGCATACATCTTGTAACATATCTACAGCCCTAAACTTAGTATATTATACTATTAAGTTAGCATTATTCCTACAATGTCTATTTCTCTCGCAATGTATATATTTCCCTTTTAATGGTCTTTTGGAAAGATGTGTTCATATGTTCAACAGCCGTTTTATGGTATGTTGTAATTGCAACATTCCTCCTTTTATGCTATTGGTATCTACATTATTATATTCCACACATAGAGTTATGTCTTGCAAGGAAATGTTTGATGTATCATGGTGTATCATAATGTGCCATCTGTATAACAAACCGGCACTTTGTGTTTTGTTGTTATTTGTGAAAAATCAATAAACACTATATATTGAAGAAAAAAAAAAAACAGTGGATACGGTGACCAGTGCAACCACTTAGATCTGGTGACACAAAGCTTTGATTTAAAAACAAAAAACTTTTTTCACTGTTATAGATTGAATAGCAGTCAGTGTCCTTAAAGCCGGTGTGTTACGCTAACAGTGGATACGCTGACAAGTGCCACTAATTAGATCTGGTGTCACAATAGTTTGGATTTAAAAAAAAAATAATCTTTTTTCACTGTTATAGATTGAATAGCAGTCAGTGTCCTTAAAGCGGGTGTGTTACGCTAACAGTGGATACGGTGACCAGTGCCACCACTTAGATCTGATGTCACAATAGCTTGCATTTAAAAACAAAAAACTTTTTTCACTGTTATAGATTGAATAGCAGTCAGTGTCCTTAAAGCGGGTGTGTTACGCTAACAGTGGATACGGTGACCAGTGCCACCACTTAGATCTGGTGTCACAATAGCTTGGATTTAAAAAAACAAAACACTTTTCACTGTTATAGATTGAATAGCAGTCAGTGTCCTTAAAGCGGGTGTGTTACGCTAACAGTGGATACGCTGACCAGTGCCACTAATTAGATCTGGTGTCACAATAGCTTGGATTTAAAAAAAAAATGATCTTTTTTCACTGTTATAGATTGAATAGCAGTCAGTGTCCTTAAAGCGGGTGTGTTACGCTAACAGTGGATACGCTGACCAGTGCCACTAATTAGATCTGGTGTCACAATAGCTTGGATTTAAAAAAAAATATATCTTTTTTCACTGTTATAGATTGAATAGCAGTCAGTGTCCTTAAAGCGGGTGTGTTACGCTAACAGTGGATACGCTGACCATTGAATAGCAGTCAGTGTCCTTAAAGCGGGTGTGTTACACTAACAGTGGATACGCTGATAATTAGATCTGGTCAGCGTATCCACTGTTAGCGTAACACACCCGCTTTAAGGACACTGACTGCTATTCAATCTATAACAGTGAAAAAATATATATATTTTTTTAAATCCAATTAGATCTGGTGACACAAAGCTTGGATTTAAAAAAACAAAACACTTTTTTCACTGTTATAGATTGAATAGCAGTCAGTGTCCTTAAAGCGGGTGTGTTACGCTAACAGTGGATACGCTGACCAGTGCACTAATTAGATCTGGTGTCACAATAGTTTGGATTTAAAAAAATAATAATCTTTTTTCACTGTTATATATTGAATAGCAGTCAGTGTCCTTAAAGCGGGTGTGTTACGCTAACAGTGGATACGCTGACAAGTGCCACTAATTAGATCTGGTGTCACAATAGTTTGGATTTAAAAAAAAAATAATATTTTTTCACTGTTTTAGATTGAATAGCAGTCAGTGTCCTTAAAGCGGGTGTGTTACGCTAACAGTGGATACGCTGACAAGTGCCACTAATTAGATCTGGTGTCACAATAGTTTGGATTTAAAAAACAAAAAACTATTTTTCACTGTTATAGATTGAATAGCAGTCAGTGTCCTTAAAGCGGGTGTGTTACGCTAACAGTGGATACGCTGACAAGTGCCACTAATTAGATCCGGTGTCACAATAGCTTGGATTTAAAAAAACAAAAAACTTTTTTCACTGTTATAGATTGAATAGCAGTCAGTGTCCTTAAAGCGGGTGTGTTACGCTAACAGTGGATACGCTGACCAGTGCCACTAATTAGATCTGGTGTCACAATGGCTTGGATTTAAAAAAAAATAATCTTTTTTCACTGTTATAGATTGAATAGCAGTCAGTGTCCTTAAAGCGGGTGTGTTACGCTAACAGTGGATACGCTGACCAGTGCCACTAATTA